GTTAAGTAAAATAAAACGTAAAATAAAATTAAAAAAAAAAAAAAAAAAAAAATTAAGTGCACGTTGCGTGTCGCGTGCTTTCGCAAAGTGTGAAAGGTGAAAGCACCTAAATGTTGTGAAATCACGCGAAAAAAAATCAAGTAAGACATAAAAAAAAAAAAAAAAAGGCACTCCCGATCCGTTAGCACCTCCAACACACGCGTAATTTGAATTTCATGCGAAAATTGTACTAACGCAAGCGCAACTAAAGCAAGCGAGGTGCTTATTTATAAGTAATGACGATAATGACAAGTCGGCAGGATAAACGACGTACATACGCGCGATGTACATAGGATTAGTTAACGAAACAAAGAGCGTAGAATTTTTTCAAGAGTCTAGTTTTTGCTCATCTATTGGAGATTGTCGTCTCGTGCCTAATCGCCGTGCGCATTATGGAGAAAGCGCGACGATGAGGGACTAAGTGGATTGAATCGAGGAGGAAAAAAATAGGCGCGCGATAAACTAGTAGCGGAAGGGGGAGTTTTACAAAACGACGGTGGATCGGCCACCCCACCTCGTACCCAATAAATATTTCTCTCAACTTACAGCCCGGATAAATAATAATAAACAAGACTCGTTGTTTTATTTGATGCTATACAGTGTTACACAGACTACAGATATTTACAACAATATTATATTCTTACAGAGGATTATATTTACTTTAATAATTATTGCAGATAATCGCGATGTGCATTTGAAACAATTGAATAGGCTCATAATAACAATATATTTTTCACAGTAATAAGAGTGCGCGCAGATGTTCATCTGCCAGAAACTATACAGCCAATCGAATGCAAGCTTAACAGAGTGATAATATTATTATTAAACTGAAGGGGATAAAGCAGTTATTGTCGAACAGTACGCAAAACCGTGATTGCAAACACAATGAGCAGAATGAATTAGATGAATGAAAGAAGAAAAGAAATGGAAGGAAAACGGTAAAAAAGAAAAAACAAAACAATACAAAACAATACAAAACAGAGAGAGAGAGAGAGAGAGAGTTAGAGAGAGAGAGAGAGAGAGAGAGAGAGAGAGATAGAGAGAGAGAGAGAGAGAGAGAGAGAGAGAGAGAATAATATAAGAAACAATATAATTAATAAGGCTGGTGTTTAATTCACGTTGCGGTCCATGCTGATCAGGCCGGCTCTCGAATTTAATTTCGAGACCGATCAGTTCCTAATACAGGGTTCTCGTAAGGTTTTTCTTCTCTACTTATTCCTACACCGGGAGAATGACACAACGAAGCGTTGTTTTTCCTTTATTTTGTACAGGGTTCTGTAGGAAGGGTTCGTTGCAATAGCTAAACCGGTAATGCGTTTGTTCAATTGAACAACGATTGCTGGCATATTCCGTGTGATATGACCTGTTTAAATTTTTGCTATCCAATAGTAGACTATAAAATATAAAACCGTAATACATTTTTAACATAGATTTTTATCGTTATTGACTGTATACAGACTACTGAGGTATTTATGCTTACTTTTAACAACAATGCGGTGCTTTGATAAAGCGATTCTTATGGTGTGATCTTTATTTTTATCTGCAGTATTTATATGTCCAGCTTAAAAAGCCTGACACATAATTATAATAGACACAATTTTATTACATATATAAGTCAATCTATAGTAGTGGTATGCTCAGTTGAACTGAATACATAGTTAGCAATAACTTATTTCCCTAAATGAAGGTCACATTATAATAATGGAATATCAAATACAATTCAGTTTGATACTGAAATATAATATAACAATGATTAATTTAACATAATATTTTAATGTAACTTTGAAACAAGGTCATATTGCAGTAAGCACATTATTAATACAATACATACTATACAAGCTGCGGTAGAAACTACTGCTATGTGTACAATGTGAACGTTTTTGTGTAATTATTAACGTATACTTTTATGCCCGATGCAATTCTCTAATTTTTCTTTATTATTATTATTATTATTATTATTATTATTATTATTATTATTATTACTAATACGATTATGATTATTACGATTCTTCTTCTACTTCTTCTTCTTCTTATTATTATTATTATTATTATCATCATCATCATAATCAACGTCACAATCATCAATATTATTATTATTAATTCACCAATATTTTATAGATTAACACAAAAGCATTTACTGTCGAGTATACGTTTTGTTTAGTTACAAAAAAAAAAAGATGAAAAAAAAGGAAACGCCGTTTACTCCGGTTAGTCGTAGATATTTTGTAAACTTGTAAAATAGTAAGTATTTGTACAAGTACAAGTCAGTTTGCATTTTCCTGGTGTATCCCGATACAGCCTTTCTCAGCTGACTCACTCGCAATAGTGATTTCATTGACGACATATGTGCCTCGTTATTACACACGTAACGTGATCTTAGGTATATAAAATAATAGTACTACGGGTTCGTTTTTAAATAAATGCGAAATAGCGTAAATAAATAAAATGGGATATAATGTGGATGCTCGGTCGATCAGCATGGATTCTAAATAATAAAATATAAACGCAAAAGTTCGTTAAATGCAATTTCCATAGCCCTAATACCACACAGTACAACTCAGGATTTTTAACATTTATATTTTACAGATGACAATAGTTCCGTATATTAAAAATGAACACAGCAAACATAGAAAACGGCGTTAAGCGTTTAAGCATTGATAAAATCTGCAGTACGAGATAGAATAAGTTTCCACTTCTCTCTTTTCTGAACAAGCTAAAAATAAACTTGAAACTTGTTGGGTCTCGTGACGGATTTCCTTGTCGGGTTATCGCGTGGCATGATCGTATTTTTTTTTTTTTTTTTTTTTTCTCACTGCTTAAGGAAGACATATTCCATACCTCACAAATTAACAATCAAATGAAAACTTTTAAGCAAAACTTTAAAACAGCTATATATTACCGAAAAAAAAAATAAATATTTTTACGTATGAAATCAGTTTAAATAGTAGTAAAAAAGGCGGCAGGTCGATAAATCAGAAACGTTGCTACGGTCGTGGCGCAACGACTGCGCGTGAGACCGTCTCACCTCAGAATATATTTACAGAATAATTAAACATAATAGAACAGTTGAATACACATCTTACAAATACAAACAATCTGGTTTTCTATCAATAGATACAATAGAAATCATAATCATTGACATATAGCAATCACACGTACGCAAGCACACACACTACACACGCACGGGCGCATCGATGTCAATGCGCGCACGCACACACGCACCCCACGTACTTATCACAGATGCAAACACACTCGTGCATAGCAAATACAAATATGTGCATACTTTGCAGACTTTGTCAAAACAAGAGGTGTTCGTTTTGTACTTATATATATATATATATATATATATATATATATATATATATATTTCAACGTTGATAAGGTATTTTCCAAATGATGCATCGTGTTTCATTAATTCTCACTGTTCTTACATTTATAAAATGATAACAAAGGATAATCGTTGAAGTCACGATGGCTACACGAGTAGCCACAAGATATTCCGCTATTACGAACGTTTATTTTTTTTTCAAATTCATCTAATATAACTCGTAAGCGGCGTATTGTTAAAATTTCCAAACAAACAAATGCAAATTCATTATTAGTAACGCAATAATAATTTAATAATTTAATAATTTAATAATTTATTAATTTAATATGGTATGTTTATATATTATTATGAAATTATTTCAATCCCATTCATATAATGAAAATCAAAGACTATTATAATGCTTTACCAAAGTAAAATTGAAATACTGAATTGAAAAACTTTAGCCAAATAAAAATTATTTTACTCGGTATAATTATGTTCTTTCAACAATAACATTCGATACTCAAATCGTTCAATTTGGCATTTTAATCTTTGCTCGATATAGTCGCGATCTCCTCTGTTATCATTTCTTAATTTTATATAACATTAAGCAATAGTGTAATGGATGCCCAGCGTTAAGCAGACAATTTTTACATTGTCCCGTAATACAGTTAAATGATAAATGTTGCATATCATATTATTAAACATAATATTATTAGATCTGAAAGTTAGAAGCTAAAAACTTAATAATATCGCGAAGGTTCATATTAAAAGTTTAAGCTTTCAAAACTTTATGTAACGGAATAGTGAAGGATTAATTAACAGGAAAAATTTTTCTTTTTAAAGACTTAAAATAATATGTGTATGGGGGGGGGGGTAGAAAGGATACGATATGAATGTACTGATTTAACTTACCTTTGACTCTTTTAGTGCATTCTTTAATGTTTTAAATTTTTTAATCAAATATGAGTTTTTTTTTCTCATTATCCCGGAAATAATGGATTTTGCCAAGGCAATAATAAAATATTAGCAGTTTTAGCACAATTCAATTACAAATTGCAATTATAGTTGTCATAGTTTTCTTTAAACAAACCATTTGTGGTTATCCCCGGTTAATTGTTGATCAATTTCTGTAATCAATGGTTTGCTTTCGATTGCATTAGTTAGATTAGAAATTAGTTTAATCAACTTCTTGTTGATCCTTTTGCGATGCTTCCTGGTGATTATGAAATAATCAACCAGAGTTCAAAGTTGTAACGAAAGGCTTAGTAGGTGGTTGCCGCCTTTAATATGTGGTACTTATTGCGCCAAGTTTCCTTATTGATATCCATTCAATAATCGAGACAAGTTTTTTTTATTACCAAACACCCCCCCCCCCCCCCAAAGCAATGCTATTTCTCTTTTAATACTTTTTCTTCATCAAAGTAATAGATTGTATATTTTCTTGACTTGAGCGGTATTTCCTTTTTTATGAACTTTTTGTTACTCTTGACCCTAATGGTATGTCGTAAATATATATGTTATCCTAAAGCAAAATTTTCTGGTTTCATAAATTGCATTTGGTTCAAACTATTGTTAATTATGAACCTACTCTTTTTTTAGTGAAGCATTCTTCGTAATAGTATTATAAAGTTACAATGTTTTAGTATTCTTG